TGCTTTAGTTTGATTTTCATAAATTGCCGATCTACAGTCCACAACAGACCTATAATTTGTATATTTTAATCTTAAGGCTATTCACACATTTCTGGGGAGTGAGACCGGGAATCCGAGCTCTTTTTTTGAAATAAGGGCCACCTTAGTGTACATATACAGTATATAGTTGTGTTGGTAGGAGATTTATCTATTTTTTCTCTCACCTATGAAAAATCGCTTTCCGATGGTCTGAAAAGACTAGTGTTCGACACACTGATTCGTACCGAAAAGGACTGATATGTAATCACATATCGAGTGCTGCCGATTCAAAAACGCCCTATGTCAGCACATTTTCAATACATTTGGCGTTTTTGAACCGAATTCTGAGATAGGGTGTTTTTCAATAAAACTCTGAAATAGGGCGTTCTTGAAAAGTTTTTTGAGATAGGGCGTTTTCGAACTGGCTGTCGAGATAGGTCGATCTTCCACTCAGCAGTCGATATGTACTTACATACTTACATTGCTCTGCCGTTCCTTTTGTTCCATTCGTTCCATTCGTTCCAATCAGATGACTTCACAGTTTTCGCGCCTTTTTTCAACTGGATGTGAAAATTCGTTTGGCTGCAATGTTTCCTCAAAATTGTCGCGATTTATTAAATTTAAAATAGTGTAAAGTGATAAAGTGTGTTTTGAAGTGTTAAAGTTAGCAGTCGTTAAATAAAACAAGTGAAAATTTAGTGTATTGAGAGGTAATGGAGCAAATAGCCAAGAACCAAGTTCCCACTCGGCTTTGTGTGTGAAATCGCTTTGCTGGTTCGAAAAAGTTAATATATAGGTCAGAAATGTTTTAATTTAACGAATATAATTTAATAGAAAGTGTGAATGTTGTTAATTAGTGAATAATTTCTGTAAATAAAAGCTTTGTGTTTTGTGCGAGGACGCGCATACAATTCAAGTGACCGCAGGAGCAGGGTGACACAAAAGTGAAATTTAATTAGGAAACTATCCATGTAGAATTGGATGTAAGTATATTAAATTACATATCGTCGTCTCAGAAAACGGATGTCGAATGTTACAAAACACGGTTTTGAGAAAATTGACTTTGAAGTTTAAGGTCGAATTAATCCGAAACTGTACGGTAGATTTTTGTAACTTTTGAAGGAGACGTAGTTGGTGTTATTAGTTTTGATTTCCCATATTTTTACATTTAATATCTCTTAACGTTAATGAGAAAATTTATTTTTCATTCCGTATATATTTGTCGTAAGTAGCGTTTACTCACCACTTTGTTTTGTCCACAGAACATACGACAATAGTAAAGTATCTATTTCAACGACGATGGTATAATTTGATGAAAAAAACAGACATATTTATTAAATAATGATTACTTATTAGAAAAAACATAACAAAAACATAATCATGTATTTAATAAAAAAAATCTGTACATCTCATATGCTGTAAATATGTTACGAACATACGTTTTCTTTATATAAAAACAAAAAACAATACTTAAATTCAGTCTTTTGTACATTTTTATCTCTTTCATTTCATTGGAGACTCAGTGCAAGCTAAAATTTAAAAATTTAAAATTTTAAAATTAGTTACTTAGTTTAATTTTCAATTTTAATTGTATCGTTATAGTAGAGGACCATCCAATTGTCGTAAGTTCAAAGTTTTGCGATACATACGACAAATGTTTTATGATTAAAAAAGGATTACATTTGTATGGGAATTTGTCGTATGTGCCACATACGACAAACGTTTTATGATTAAAAAAAAGGTACGTTTGTATGGGAATTTGTCGTATGTGACGCATTTTCAGCACATACAACAAAAGGCATACCCAATCATTAATATTATGTAACATACGACAAAATGCGCACGAAATATCTCAAAAACTAATGGAGATATAAAAAAATGGATTGCAGAAATCGAAAGAGCATGTCCAACTTAGTAAATCTGCATCAAAATCCCAAAATCGTGATTTTGCACATTCGTCATCCGTTTTCTGAGGCGACGATATGTACATACATATATTTGCATTATATAGGATTTGAAAAGGGGTAGGAAATAGTCGTTATTTGGGTATTTCTGTTATGAAAATCTTTATTTGGAAGATTTCTACTAAAATATTTTATTTGTCACTAATTATTTTTATTTGGGACTTATATTCAGAGACCATAACGATTATAAGAAACAAAATTAAATATTGCTCTATAATTATTACTGAACAATGGAAATGTTGTTTTCGTCTCGCGGGACGATTATTTTGAAGTGTAAATTATTTTCGCTCATAATATTTAGATACGTCTTCTCATAATAATCATATGGGATTTTTATTTTTTTTCGTCTCGGGAAATTTATTTCATGACGGAAATGATTTACGCCCTCTCCAAATAATTATATTGGACTTTTATTGAATGCAACTTTTTAATTGAGTTCGGAGATTTGTCTCGTTAAATATTTAAATCAAATCTGTATCGTTCGTTCGATTTTCAGAAATGTGTTGTCAAATTAAAGGGCTTTGCTTTTACGTGGTTTTGGTTTATTTAAAGAGGTTGCCAGATGTTAGCAAATCAAATTCCAATAATCGATCTCGCAGATATTTGCGTTTAATTTCGTGAAATCGGCATTACATGTACCGATTCTATTAAGAGAAAACGTGGGACGTACATCATTGTACATGTCGTCTTGAAATAAACGTTACGAGAGACGATAAAAATAAAAGTCGCATATAATTACTACGAAAATACGTAAATCATTTCCGTCTTAAAATAAACGTCCCACGAGACGAGAAAAAATAAAAGTCCCACATAATTATTATGAGAAGACGTAAATAATATTCGTCTTCAAATAAACGTCCCGAGAGACGAGAAAAATAAAAATCCCGTATAATTATTATGAAAATGCGTAAAAAATTTCCATTTGAAAATAATCATCCCACGAGACGAAAAAATATATTTCTCGTAAATAATTGTTATACAAAGACGAAAAAAATTCTCTTAAAACAAGGCGACGATGTTGAAATCAAATATTAGGATAATAATTATTTTGGGTCTCTGCTTATATTTTTTCGCACAGAACATTTCTAATATTACTTGTGTTCTTATAGCTGTTTTGGAAATAAGTATCCGTCCTCTATTGTCACGTTTGGTTTAAAAACAAGCCTTTCAGATTTTTTTTTCGTTCTGAGTTTTGGTTTGGATACAAATATTCTAAACAAAAATTAAACTCATGATTGCATAATGCTAAAACCGGTTTATCGCCAATCAAACTTGAGAAGGGATGAGGGAAAGTCGTTAAAAAATATGATTTAAGTTCATAAGAAAGGGATATATTTTCAACATTATAGCTAAGCTATTTTGGCGGTTACAATTTTTGCCAAGTGTTTGGTTGAGCGTCCCATTGCTTTTTATTTAGAGAATTCCACAGCTCTCCATGACCCAGAAGACGTCGAAAATGTGGACCAAACACACACAGAAAAAAATTGAAAACCCCTAACTTTGAAGGATATTTGAAAGGTCAAGGAAATTTTGTTATCCAAGGAAACTATTTTTCCTGAATTCTCCATCTCAAAAGCCTTAAAACGCAATTGAATTTTTTTCGCTAGCTGTTCTCATTTTCGAGATATTAGAATTTGTCACAAAAAAAGTTAAATTTCCACACTGTGGGACGATAGGCTACTTAGGGTGTTCAAACGGAGCATTGACTGCTGTAATCGCGCGCCTCTTAAACTGGATCTGCACAAATATAAATCTGTGGGAGATATACTTGAATGAAATAGGAGCCAAGGAGGCTATGTGTCTAATTTGGAAGTCGCCCCCAAAAAGGTGTTACAGTTTGCCAAGAGGATTGCAATAGCTTACCTAACCTAAAATAGATGCAATCCAGGTCCTACAGACTACTAGTACGCACCTCTAATCACTTTACACGAATAAAATCCATCAGCTAGCTTTTAAATAAAACACACTATTTTTTATTTACGTTTTTGGCCTTAAAGAGCGTTTAATATGATATTTTTTCATAGTATTTCCAAGATATGTGATTAAAATTTCTTCCATTATTAATGATTAGTTTGTAATAAAAATGAAAGATATTCATATGCACTTAATGTTTTCATATACATAAGCGATCTTATGAGCTACTCAGACACTACTGAACTTAAAAGCTAATGACTAATGCTGTTTGAGAAAATCTAAATACATATTTGCCCTTGTGTCAATTTTGAAACTTTATGTAGTAAAAAACGAAATTTTGATTTATTCAGATGTTCGTAATATACATATATTGACTTCCAAATGGTATGAAATTATCGAGCTATTTACACGGGGGGTACTTCAATGACCGCAAATTTTAGAAATAAAAACCAAACAGTAAAATTTTAAAAATAAAGTTCCAGGCATTCTTGCGTACTTAAAACTAACAAAAAAAAATATATATTTAAACCGATGAAGATCTTTCGAAAGTATTTCATTTTTTACGAGCTGAATTAATTTCATTTATGGAAATTGCATTTTTTTAAATTTATAACAAAAGACTTACGACACGAACTTTTGTGTGTGTCAAATTCCATTTTCCGTGCGGAGTCATCTGCTTACATTGCTAATCTATATTAATTTTTCTTGCTGCTTTTTACGTTGCATTAACTTTGGTCTGATTTCGTTTTTTTGAAAACTGCGTATCTATTTGCAGTAAATATAAAATTACATAATTAGTAAATCCACTTAAATATGATTTTTAAATTATATGTATGTATTTGTATATGCCTATATAAAATTGACTTGCATTGGTCCACTTAACGAAATTAAAATCTTCAACACACCGTAAGATTTTTCCTTTCTCTTTCAAGCTTCCGTTACTTAGTCAGACTGCTCTCTATGCTTGCGCGCAATGTAGCTCCTAAGTCTACGCTCGCGAAGCTACCGATTTTTTTGTTCTTCGTCGACAGGAGACAATAAATTTTTCTTGTCTTTTACACTCACTTACTTTGCTAGTTGCTACTTTAAATACACAGTATTTGTTTGAATGTCTATAAAAAAAATGATTTACACCAAACGTTAATTTGCGCTTGGCACGAGCACACACATACACACACTCACACACGCACTTAGAACTGCACTGTAAACTCGTCAAAGCGTCCAACCCTTAGACCGCCACAATTTTGCTGGGATCCACTTTAACCCGCAAAAATACTGTATCCTCTTTGATGAAAGGTCGCCTGTGCAGCATTTCATGCGAAATGAAGCGTGGAAAGCCGAAACCCAACTGATCCGGTTCATTCGAGGGCCGCTGGAAGTTCTCCCATGTCGGATCGGGCACAAACGACTCAGCCACACCGCCCTGTCCGCTCTGCGCACCTTGTTCGAAGAGTGTGAATGTGATCGAGTGCGAGAATGGCCATTTCAGTAGCGCATCATATTCGCCCGGCAGCACTTTGATATACACCGATACGTGCGTGTTCTCGCCCGGTCCGTTGCCATTGAGAAACATTGAAGCCTGTAACTTGTAACCATATTGCGAGGTATAAAATGGCGGCGAAACCAACTCAAGTCCATCTTTGTTGCGCGCCTCTGTCATTTTGGCCGACCAATCGGTAATCTTCCACAGCAACGTGCCGGTGTAGTTGATCGAAAGCTTCGAAACAGCGGTCTTCAGCATTTGTATTTGTTGTCCTTGGCGTGAAGAGAGCGCCACCATGAGTGACAAATGTGACGCTGCATTTGCTTCCAAATGAGCTTCGAGCATGTGACGTGGTCCCTTGAAGCGACAGCCGGCCTCCTTGAAACTGCATGCAATCGCTAGTGCCTTACATTCATCACGCAAATGCCCCTCCATGTCGCCGCGTGCAATAGGACCTGCATCACAGCGTTTTGGACATGTCATAGGCGCACGTGGGCACTGGGCTGCATGCAGCGGTAGTGTGTCGGAGGAGAATTCGCGTGTGCAGTGTATGCAACGACGTAAGCGTTTGGCACAATCCTTTGACTTGTGTAGCGTCATTCGACCGCGCAGCACACGCTGACCACACTTGGCCTCGCAATAGATGGGCTCTTGGCCGCAAGTGCCGGCATGCTCTTCGAGGCCAGCGCCAGAGAATTCACTTTGACAGAACTCGCATTTTGTGCGTCGCATATTGCAGGTGAACTGTAGGTGATCGGTCATCATGATGCGAGGAATTTGTGCACCACACTTATTCGGACACTGGGTGGCGTCGTGCTTGCAAACGTTCAAGTGGCCCTGAAAGGAGAGAGAGATGAGGAAAATTTGTTGTTAGTTATGTAGAAATGCAGTGAAATAGAATTCAGTAAATTGATAAAGGTAGCCTTAATATACAAAAACTAGTAACTTTTACTAAGCATGTAATTTTTTTAACTGAAAAGCTCTTAGTAGTAGTATTGTGTATGTTATCTATATCCGCATTTCATCCGCCAACACATAGCGAGTGCGAAGAGCGAAACCAGTAGAACAAATGGAAGTCTGACCATGAAAGGTTAGGCTAGCATTCTAGGCAGATGTCTGTGGTCACGGGATTTCTTTCATTCAAACTATTTAGTCGCCGAAAATATTCATTGGAAATGATTGTTCCTTATGTTGCTAGAAGCTTAGAACACCCCATATCCTTCCAATAAAATCACACTGAAGGCATAAACTTCCTTTAAAGAAGTTTTTTCGAATCATCACGTTGCGACCAAGAGAGATTGCGTTCCACATTAGGTGCATTCGCGAAGTCTTGCAAAGCCCTTGCACCGGTACACGGCATGCAAGACTTTGAGAATACCCATATTGTTTTAAAGAATCACCTTCTCTTAACTAGTTGCTTGCCGTTAGGTCTAAAAAGCGATTGCTTTATTCACCTTTCAGCAGCATTTTGAAGATACTTCTATCTATACGTGCCGTCCAATCACTATCTTTGAGTACATTTGGAATCCAAATATCCAGCTTGCTGCATCTTCAGATGGGAGTGAAAACTTTCTATACTAATTTTCAATGTTTCTCTTGCAACATGTATCGACGGTTTGACTGGATAAAAGCCTTTAATCTTTCTTCATCAACCTCGGTGCGCTTTTCTGTCGGTGCAGCATCTTTAGTGTCAGAATTCCTGGAGCAGTAACTACAGGTAATCGGTGTATGTCAGTAGAAGCGCTGATAAGAACAGAGCTCCGCAGGCAGCTGATGTCTACTCCGGAGGGTTCCTCGGGTTTGGTCCAGCAAATGCCGAACAACTGCGAAGGAATTCATGAGATGATTCCACATCGTCCTCCAAGCAGCTGCGACAGTAAGAGTGCGTGGGTTCCTAATGAACAGGGTCCGCTCAGTAAGAATCGAGAGCGGGCGCTTAAGCAGCGGCAGATAGCCCCTTGACCGCGTGTGACCAGAAAGATCTTCCAAGGGGTTTTTTTCTCAACGCATGCTGAGCCGACTGTAGCCCCATCTGCCCAGTAGTGCGCAGGTTGCCAAAAGAACTCCTATGTCTTGCCTGTGCGGGGGCGCCGAGGGTACCCGGCCTAGCCAACTTATCAGCCCTGCACTTTTCAGTGATGCCACTGTGTCCTGGCATACCCAAATCGTCTTGATTTGGAAATACTCTGAGGCATTGAAAGAGAGGTAAGCATTCTCCGCAAAAATCTGGCAGCCGGAATATGAGATTTACTAAGAGTTTCTAGCAAAATACACCTGCCCCAACTCTGCCATCTACGTTAAGATCCATTTCTTCCAGTAAGAAGTCCAGGTTTTTAAAAATTAACTCTAACTTAACGCAAGTTTTTACAACTTGTCACAAGTTTTTTCCTTTACGGAAGTGAAAGTGTATGGTATGGAGAAAATGCATACTGTCTTCGTCCATCTTCACATTGTTGCAATAAACGTATCTCCAAAACTCGATCCAACCACTCAACTTTTATTTGAAATGAAGTTTAAACAATTGACTGTTAAATAACATATGACATACAAGCATGATACAAAAAAGAAGGTAGTTTCAATAAACAACTTTTTGATTAAAAAGCAGATTTTTGACAATTGCTCAATTGTGAAAAATTCAAAGCGGCATTACCCAATTGTAAGTTTTTTGGTGTGGGACATTTTATATTCTAAATTTGGGATTATAAAGTAAATAGTTGTATTAATATATACCTTTTAAAACTAATCAATATCTTATTTTGAAAACGTTTAAATTTTACGCCACACCTTCTGGAAAGTAACATGATCACAGGGTGTATCCCGCAAACCATTTTAAGCTAAACCTTCAGGGATTATATTCTTGCCAAGACCCACAGGCATAAGCCGAAATTGCGTCGCAAGTTTTATGATCGGCTTGGGTAAGGTTTAACCACTTAACCCCCCTTTGTTTTCTTCGCTACTGAATTCTATAAACTGTCAGCTTTCACACAATTTAAAATATACATGTGTATTTAAAAATGTCATGAAAATTGTGTGCTAGCTTCATGTTGCAAAATGTTTCAAGGAAATGTTGTGGAATTTCACACTTATTTCTTGTTTATTTCTTATTATGCTATGCTTAAGAACAAAATATTTTTAAATCGACAAAACATTAACATTATACGAAAATTTGAAGGATTTTAGATATTGGGTATGGTAGCACGAAATGTCACAATCTGCTTAATTGTCAGGTTGTTAATATGGCGACGAAAAAGTGACAATGGAACTACCTTGTTTTTTGTATCATGCATACAAGTATATGGACTTTTACTCAATCTAATAGTATGATTTAGGATACGATAACAGGCAATGCGCTTCACTTGAGCAAAAGAAGTGTCAAACAGTTTGCCAAAGCTAATAAGTCAGAATTAGGCTACTTTCGTGCTGCCCTCAACAACTTACTAGTCCAATAAAGTTCCCAACCGGCACATGAATGAATTTTTTTTACGGCTGCTGTGATTTTTAAACATGAAGCAATCTTCTAACTTTTTTAATATCACTTTCCAAGTTAAAAAGGTCGCTCTACACAAAGATCAACTCCACAAAACATTTTACCTAATTTTTTTTTCTCTACATCACCCCTTTTAACCTAAGTTTCATTCACTACCTATTTAGAACTTGACTTCTTAATTCGCTAGAATTTCCATTTATTGCTTCTTATGAATGAATTCAAAAATGTAACAACAAAAAACGTCAAAATGGCCACAAACTGTTTAAGACAACATTAGAAGCGTAATAAAATTTAACAGACATTCTAATATTTTTCTAAGAACGCTCTTAAAGTCAACTAATAAAAATAGTTTGCTTAATGAATGAAATATCAGTTGTTGTGTGGCTATTTCGCCCGCTGCTACCACTATGATGAACTTGTTAGTTGAAGCAACTTGAATGTAATTAATTTTTTGCTTTTTAAAAACAAGAAATTATGTGTAAAAATTACGCGTGTGTAAACGTTTATTTTTTATTTTTTATTGTTTTATTTTTTTTTTTAGTTTTCGTACACACCTTTAATTTTCTCAGCTCATCGGACCATTTGCAACCCTGTTTATGGTGTATGCAGAAGACGAGTGAACCCATGATGGCTTGTTTGGGATCGGGGCCAGGGTAGATCTGCAAGAGAAAAAAAAGTTTAATTAGTTTTGGAATTTAGTTAACTACTTTAGTAGCAGTAATATATGTACATATGTATGTATATAGTAAACATAGTTTTGGATAATAATAAATAGGAGTTGACCATGGTTTGCAAGAGCTAAAATGTCAGCAGCTCCAAAGAAAATTTATCTTCTTAAAAACTATAGTTAATATAGAGAACTATGTATATATGTATGTATGTAGATAATTTATTTTACTTCTCAAGTTGTTGGTCTTCTAAGCTGTCGAACAACCCTCCATTATTTTCACCTTTCACTTGGAATTTTTTCTTCCAAAAACTAAACTGATATTCGCCTTTTTTGCCGAAAATATTTTTTAAACATTACATGAATATTTCTAATGAGCGCTGTCACGCCATCTCACAGACTGTCATAAATTTGAAATATACTTTGAGATATATACTACAAGTAACACATATTTGCTTAGGCTCGCCACCAAGTGACATTTGTCACAGATAGGCTGGCGACCTGTTAAACAGTATATTCATTTGCTTTATTGATGAGAGAGGCTGATAATTTCGGGTAAGCATTGACTGCACACGTCAGGGAGCGACCTTCCTTATCAGCAGGAGCGTTTTTTTTTTATTACCCACAAAGCAATGTGAATGCATGCCTAATGCATAAGGCAGCGAATATCTTAGTGGAAACTTACGTACGTACCTATTTATATACTGAGTTAGAAAAAAGTAAAATATGAAATATGGCTCTTTTAGGGTATAGAAGAAATTCTTTCTAATTTAGCCAGTGTGAAAAGTAGTGTTTAAGGAGCTGAAAATTACTATTTTGTTTGTCTAAGAATCATTTTTTCTTATCTACCTGCCAGTTGACGTGATGTGGTGGGAAAATAATTCCCGTGTGTCAAGTTAGCACTACACTTTTCGAATTTGGAAAAGCTAACTACGGCATTAATTGTAGTGTTTTTGTTGTAAATTTGTTGTTTGGTTTTGTTGTAAATTTGTAGCTCTCGTTTTTTAAGAAAAAATGGTATGTAGTGCTAACTTGACACCATACACCTAGTCGATAGAATTGAGATATTGAAAATGTTATAACGGCATTCATTGTAGCTTTTTTGTTGTAAATTTGTTGTGGAAAGAAAAAATTTGTAGCTCTCGTCTTTTAAGAAAAAATGGTATGTAGTGCTAACTTGACACCATACACCTAGTCGATAGAATTGAGATATTGGAAATGTTATAACGGCATTAATTGTAGCTTTTAACTTTAAAATTTGTTGTGGAAAGAAAAAA